CCATCCATCCATCCATCCATCCATCCATCCATCCATCCATTTATCCATCCATCCATCCATCCATTCATCCATCCATCAGGTGGGGACATACGGGGCTATAACCGGGTTGGTGGACCACTGGTAGTTCACTTAGGGGAGTTGGCCAAAAACCTTGATTCCAAACCATTCAAAAAGGTGTACGAACCACACACGCCTTCCCAGTTGTGGCGGTTCTGGTCACCGGCTTGATTGGGCATCAAGGCGTATTTGACGCCTTGGACGTTTGACTCCCTCCAAAGGGCGTATAATCCGATGAACCGGATACCGGTCCCAAATGGATTGTGGTTTTCGCACACCGTCCCGCTGCCTTGCGGGTCAGGCTTTGGCTAGCCAAAGGCTCCGGTTGTGGATTCCTCCAGAGAATTCACCTGCTTTGGCCTGGGCAACCTGGCAGTATTCAGCCCACATGCGAATCATGCAACGTCTTTGTTTTTCATAAAGATTATTGTACCATGATTTGTTTGACACAATCTGGATTCAAACGTGTGTGAAAATAAAATAAAGGTAGGAACTGTAAACGTGAGTGCAGATGATTGAACATGTTTAGAATTACGAGTGTGCAGCAGGAGTCTGCTCGTTTCTCGAACAATCACTAAAGTTGTCAGAACGAATAGCTCCAAGACGTGTATACAAAAAGACACGCGTCGAAGGCAATGCTTTTCTGTCTGACTGTTTCATTCAATCGTATTGTATCGCCATGGCACAGTTTCAAATACATGCGTATTTTATTAGTTGAAGGTGGAATTTGGTTCAATTGTATAGTGAATTTTCTAAACTTTTATTACACCCATGTGTGATAAATAGCAGTTGGGGCGGACCCATAGTCATGAAGACCCGCTGTTCAGTGGTGGTAACCGGAAACCTAAGCCCCGGGGTTTGGAGTGGTGACCCACAAGACCCTGACTCAGGCATATTATAGAACCAGTTGACAGCAAAGTTGAATGTCGGTGGCATCATCATCATCATCGTGCAGCGAAATACAGTGAAGCGAACTTCACTGATCGCTACCAAACTCACAATGCATACAAGATTAGTGGTAAAATTTAAGGTGGACTGGGATTGGACCTACTTTGAGGGAGGACGAAGAAAGTGAATTTCTGTGATCAACACAGAGCGCACAGTCGAACTCTCAAGCGTTCTGACCTGATAAGAAATGTCACCAAGAATGCCACTGCTGTCGGTTCGTTGCCATATCCTTCAATGTCTCCAACCATCCGGTTGTGAAGTCTTTCGGACCTCAACCTGGAAGGCGTAAGACACCCACTCTACCCAATGATTCCGTGCATTTCTTCATGCCTCTTCGCCACGTCATCTGTTGACCTCCATTTGGTTTCCTCCAGTCCGGATTAGCTACAGCGAATAAAGCGCGGTGCGGCAGATGATGGCTGGGTATACGCGGTACGTGCCATAGCCAACGAAGTCTACTAATCTGAATTCGGTGTGCTAACAGGTCTATCCCTGATAGACTCCCAAATACACGGTGGCTGAACTCCACGTTACTAACCCGTTCGCTCCATCCCACGTAAGCTACACTGCGTAAACACGAGTAATCGAAAACTTTTAGTCGACACATATCTTCTGCTCGCAAATTCAAGGTCACAACCACAGATCTAAACG